TTGATTTGAAAGTAGATTTTTGCAGTCTGTAAAACTAAGAAACGTTTGTGCAAAAATATTCCTCTAAACCACCTTAGCCAGTTTATTAAGTTTGAGTATTTTTATCGATCAAAACATTTTTAAAGATAAAACAAATTAAAAAATAAGTGATTTTCAAAATGTCATAAATAAAACGTAACACAAACATTTAAAGTAAAACAAACTGCTTGAACTTTAAAAAAATACCATAATAATATAAATGTAAAGATATCACTTGCCTTAAGCTCTGTTGTTTACATAAAAAGCACAAATCAATAAACCTGAAGGTATCATACCTGAACCGAAACAAACTAATGTATAAGTGGAAAATCTTCTAAACTCAAAAGTTATTCGTAAATAAACCAATATATTATTTCATACACACAACAGATTTAGGATAATAATGCGTAGTTGTAGGGAGGATGTTCTGTAAAACTGAAAATTTAAAATTTCCATGTCATTCTTTTAGAGAATAAGTAACCTGTGGTAATTTGCTTGTATATGGATGTTTTTAATAGGCTTTCGCAATGGCAAACGTTTTTCATATCAACTATAAAATATAAAAGCCTTGTCCCATACAATTTCTTTTACAATAGATAACCCTACCGAATATTTTCTAAGGATTTCATAAAACTTCTATCCCTTACTACTTTAAAAAAATGTAGCCTACTTGCCTTCAAAGGAGGTACCAGAAAAATGAAAACCAACGTTATTTATTGTATGGATTTGATATTAAACTATATTTTGTGTAAGTATATCACAACCATATAATATTGTATTATTTCATACCTTTTCAAACCAGCTTTGGTATAAGTTTACAGTACTTGAAATGCGTAAAAGGTACTTTTATATCCCTTACTACTGTATTCTAATCTAGTTATTCAAAACCGTACTGATAGTAACATTTTCAATCTATTCATATTTGCACTGTTAAATCAATGAATTATCGTTTGTTGTGAAGATTGAGTCAGAATCATGAATAGTTCATTCATTGACCTTTGAACCTCTTTTGTGGTGCCGAAACGATAAATCTGAAGTAAATTGATAGTCCTTTTTGAAAATGAATGGGTTCATTCATCACTGGCAAACAATATAATTAACAGATCTGAACAGAATACTTGGAATCCTTGAGGAGCGGCTTTTTAATTTGTCATCAATGGATGACTTCATCGTGTTTATAAACGATAAATGCAGTGTATAGGAGTTTATAATACTTGCAGACTATGTGGTATAACAAATTATTAAAATTATATTTTTAAGATATGTAAAAAACTGTCCCCAAAAATAATCTTTCACGTGTAGATTTGAATGAAACTTTATATTATAACAAAAAATACAGCCTTCAGAATATGAACTTTTGTAAACGTTCGATAATGATATATAAGGAACAAATGTTGATTGAAAGTCATTAAGAACATGTGAACGTGCATTTAGATCATTTTTGTTATGCAGACTTAATCAATATTTACTTTTCTAAGCCCCACATCGGATTTAACTGACTAGAGGACATCCATAACTCAGTAGAAAGATAAAGTGTCTGCGTTGTTCCTCAGAACAGTAGCTATAATTTTATCTGAGTGAAATTCCAGCTTAATTGGCCCAGTAATTTATCTTTATGGATAAACAGTTACATCGTGCATTTGCATACTAGTTTATGGATGTTTAATATCATTGCAATGAAATAGAAATATTTTCTTAATGTGTTTTCATAATTGATTCAATACAATGCCATTATTATAATTTTTGCAAGGGAGCAGTAAATCCTAATTTCTTAAATATAATATTGGAACTAATCTGCATAGCATTAATCCCGATTTGGCCCATTTTTCGCATTTAGCGAAATGAAAATGTCATTTTGGTTTAGAATCATTAGAACCATTGGTCAGGATCTATCCAACAGCATTCAGATTTGAAGGCAAGCACCATCAACAATATTGTATATTTAACATAACCAATGGTTATATTTAACCATGGAACGAAACACCATAAAATGCCCACGAAACTGTATAAACGACGGCCTAGTTTCGTAAAGCGTACGTAAAAGGCGAACGGTAAGATCAGAGAGATCGTGACGAGAAGTCACGAGGAGATAGTATCAGCTGATCTCATTGTTGAACAGCTGACATTGTATCAGCTGATGTTGCAGTCAACAGCTGGCTTTGTCGACGTGTTCAACAGGTGAGGGGGCGATGCTGCTTCCCACACGGCTACAATGATTGTTGTGTTTCATTGTTTATTGTGTTCTTAGCGGTTTTGGGTTTTGTTTTTGTTTTGTGTTTCTAAATATTATGTTGCATTGTTTTTAAAACGTGTTAGGATTAGTAGGCCTATAGGGGTAAATGAGGTGTTTCCTGTGTTATTTCGAGATTCCAATAATGTAAAACCTTATGGACCAAATATACTCAAGTTTCACGTAAATATAGTAATTAATTGATTGGCCAGCGTTGAGAAACAAAAACACAGACCTACAATGTGTAGACTCGTTAACACTACATTTGCTTTGTTGATATGCTACGGGACTTTTAGATTTCTTTTAAACTACACACAGCTAACTGAATTAAAATTAAAGGGTAGCCCATGTCTTAAAATCGTGTATAAAATTAAGTGTTTATAACCAATATGAAAGTTTATACTAAAAACATAGTTGAATGTGGTGTGTGCTCCTCATGCATTACATTTTCCCTCTTAACATTCCATACTGCAGATGATGTATCACAGAAATTCTTAAGTTTACTGTTTGCTGTCCTTTTATTTAGTATTGGTTTAAATTTCGTGTCTACGGCACTGGTTGATAATTGGCTAAAGCAGGCTCTTCGGAGATAATATTATCTCATCTTCGTTCAATTTAACTAGCTAAAGCTATAACATGAGAAGTCTTATTTATGTCAATAGCCGTGTACAATAATCAACAAAACCACACAAAATATTAAATGTATACTATTCAAACATGCAGTGCAATTTTAGAAAAATCGTGAATCCCAACGAGTAAACGCACATTTCACCAGCTAAAAGTGAACCCGCAGCATCCGCCATACCGACTGGTCCAACCAGCTCAGCTTTGATACCCGAGAAGGAAGAAATCCTACACCAGACCAGCAACCAGAATGTGCTGAAGCAACTAACTGGGTCAGCGAACAGGGGGGTCTGTGACTGACGAATCAATTATCTTGTTCTGCATTTGCATAACGACTTATGTTTATTGCGAGCGGTTCTAAGGCCCTTTGAAATGCAATTCGGCCTGTGTCATTTCCAATTACCCAACGAAAATTAATGGACGAGTTTTGCTCGGGAGGGTTACGTAGCTAGAAAGTCTGGTTGTGAAATTTTATGGCTTAGTTTTAAGTTGAACTAATATAGTAGAGTAAATTATATTGTTCCAATCGTGGAAGGATTCAAATAATGCACTGTACTAAGCGGAGAAGGTTCTGTGAAACAGAAGCTGTTTTCTTGCCAAGAAACATTAAACCTATGGATAGTGGCGGGTCTATACATCAACTTTGCACAGTAAAAGCCAATAATTATGCACATGTCTATGGTGAACTGTTGATGAAAAGCGCCAATAATAAATAGCCAAAAACTAACTGGCAGTTGGAAAAAAGAAAAGAACGTTCAAACTTTTTTAGATATTTTTCATGATTTAAATTTATTATGTGTTGCAGATTTTCTACATACAAACCCAGTAAACTTAAATGTCCGGAATAGCGAGGTGGGTGGCTGATCCGGATTTGTAAGCATCAAGTTTTCCAAGAACAACTTTTCATTAGTCGGAAGGGGGAACTCAAAAAGTTGCAGCCAGCACCGCACAGCATGCTACTGTGTCTTCACCAGTGTAAGTACATAATTCAGTACATACAGTAACAAAACCCCACCATAACCGCCCGCGCGTGAATTGCTCTACTTCATGAATCATAGCCAACGTCAGTACAAAACAGAAACTGCCCACGGATAAAAGATACGATGACATTTCATATTAATAATCACTCGGAAATCACAGTCGTAAAACCAGGAATAACAAAATTACAAATCTTAAAGCCTTAAACTTTTCATTTGTCTGCATTTCAGGTTGTATAAAGGCGATTCGGATTTATGAAAGTTTTCCGTCTAACTAAAACAAACTAGATTATATTTGCAGTTAACAAACATTATGCAATAGAAAATATAACTATTTGTGTAAATTAAGAACTAAGAGAATGATGATATAAAATTAGAATAAGTACCGTGTCGATTAAAATTAAAACCAAGTCTTCTCTCAGCTCTCAGCAGGAAATAGGAGGGAATAAGAATTAGGAAAAAATACGATTATAATAAATGGACGAGACTGAAATGGGATGTTAAACATAGAAACAAATTAAATACTTCCTAAACACTTATCGTTTAAAATAAGACCAGTAACGAGACAAAATTATTACCTGGACTAATGTTTTAAAACATTAAACTTTTTGAAAACCTTCATGTTTGTGTACAAATTTTACGAAACACTACAAACACGGATGAAGATTAATGATGGAAGGATTTGTATGAGTCTCGCATAGGGAATTATTTTTCAGTAAAACCACTAGCTTTTAATTGAAATTAAACCTATACGAGTGCTAAAATTAAATCAATAGGGATTAAAAAAAACTGAAGTTACCAATAAAATCAGACTAAAATGCAACTTTAATGAGATTGATTTTTCATTTACCCTGTCAAAAACCAACTGGCAACTAACTAGTAGTACTCAGAATTAAACTGTTTTATAAGTTACATATTTTTAAAGATTTCTAAATTTTACAGTAAAATGTATACCAGTTATTTTGAAAAGTATTCGTAGAACTTTGTAAAAACGTTATTATTACTTTTTTACAATGCTACCTACCGCATATTTTAACGTGCATAGCAATTCGAAAAAGGGGTAAAACCTTTTCATAGTGAACAATCTTGATTTACATCTTTACAAGTTGATAACGTTTAAAAAAATTCAATGAAATAAAACTAGACTTTACCTCGGAAATATCCTGTATAGCTTCCAAACTCTCCTGCTCCTGCTTAGGAGAATTAGTTGAACACTAAAAATACAAATTCACCCACTTCAGAAACTAGTCACAAAAAGTTTTAGGAGAAACAAAGGAACAAACTAACACGAACCGCGACCGCGCACCGCTCGACGCGAACCTCATCAGGTACACCGAGAGACTGGCTAAGACTGGCGAAGAGAAAGGTCTCCCTCCAGCGGATTTTGTAACTTTGCGCGGTATAATTTTCCTTTCAAAAACCTTTTAGGATTCGCTCATTACCTCCTAATTACGTGTCGGCAATTTAGTTTGATCCGACGAATAAAAATTCGTCAATTTGTCAAACGCAACCAGCTGCCTGTTGATAGGATATCGTCGACCATATTAGGTTTCTCACCGGGTGAATAACTAATCGTGTTCTACATTTGTGATTGATCATTAGGGCGCATATTTAGTCTGCAACCTTTTATGGTGGTTCCTAACAACTTTGGGCCCTTGATGGAAGAGTTTGATGAATGATTTTGTTGTATTGTAACATGAGTTTACTCAAGGAATGGATGTTAAGTGTGATTTTTAGTTTTTAATGGATTTTGGATTTTACTAAACCAACATATGTACATAGCAATCCTGTAATGAGATATTCTCTGGTGTAATTATGAGAAACGTCTGTAGTTTTGATGGTTTTAAACTAGTCCTATTAGGCTGTAGTCTAGAAATGAGTGAGTTGAAAAGATACTCATATCATCTCAATCTACACTCGTCTCGTACTAAATAGCAAGCTTAAAATGCGTACTCGAAGTATTTAGTAGTAATGTTTTAATGTGATAAGTAAATCAAGATTTTCGAGCGACAAAAACTCCACATATATAAAAGGAAAACTTAACGAATCATTCGCAAGAAAGTCACGTACAGATGTCGACCCACAACCAAAAACAGCTGGACCGGTGAGGCGGTGAACAAAACCCGCCAAGTCTGTAAAAAGCCCGGGAGCCACTGTTGCGCAGCCCAGCCTTGAACGGCGAACTCTATCAGGTAGGTGGGAACAATAAAGAATTAATTGAGGGTATGTTTACCGGCTGAGGCTGCACCGTTGACAAATTATATGGATAGCTGCAATTAGCAGATTCACCTTGAACCGAATTGCGTCAGTATTGACACACATTCGCTCCTCCCGTTCGTTCAAGTCACTGCAGCTTCATCGCTGTATTTTGTGGGGGGGGGGGTGATTGGAAAAGTATGGGGGGGGGGTAATGGAAAATTTGGTATGTTAGTTGGGGTTCTTTCTGGGAGTATTTTATGTTTTAGTAAAAACTTGACACGTAAATGTTAAGTGTAAGTATGGGAAGGACCTCAATATGTAGATTGTATGGCAATAACGAATTGTTTGGATCTAAAATATGAACAGATATTCCTACTCAATAGTTATATGTGCATCTTACAAAAGGGCCACAAGTTCATCTAAGCTATCGATAGAGGGTATATACGTGATGCAGTATGTAATAAAAGTGTTCAGACTATGGAGGTAAAATTTAAATACATACCGGAGTTTTAAAATCTACTATACTTATCATATTATGTAAGAATATCTCTTATTTTTAACTACATTTTTAAAGTATGACTTGATCTCACTCACGTATATAGACCTGCTTCAAATATTTACCTGTAACAAACAACAATACAACATTACCAATTATTAAAGATCTTTCACAAACAAATCAAATAGATAACATATTAAATATGTGTGTACTCGGAATAACAGGGGGACGTACAGATCGGATGTACAGTTATACGTTTAGTTGGTATTCAAGGCCCACAGCGGATGTTATGGTATGTGTTATGGTTATATTTCCCTCTCTATCTCTATACACGGGCTGATGTAACCACATACGATGCACGAGCGGTAATAGACGTAGACCGCCTATCAGAGCCACATTGCCATTCACCAGCTGATCCAGGTAATCTGGGTTCACGGCTAGAGAAAGTGCATTCACACCTTTGAAATTTTGCATTATATAATAAAAATAATCATATCAAATATGAAAAAATGTTATTTCGTCACACTGCAGCAAGAACGATTGTTTTAAATAAGTGGATGGGTTATGAAGGTAGTAAAAATTAAATAAAGCGTTAGAATGGTGAAAAATAGGCTACATGTAAAAGGTTTTAAAAACATAAATATGTAATACGAATAAATCATACAATATTTTTAAGGAAGTCATAACCTACCTTACAAAATGCCTATTGAAATGCGTATTACAATTCTATCTCTTCATTTTTTTTAGTGAGAGTTAATTACACGTGTTAACTACATATCAGAAAATTATGTTCTTTTTGTATGATTATACTCTAAAATTTAATCGACACATTCTTTTGACACAATAGATATTAAACCGGCTAACTGACTCGGAGTATGTTGACTTTCACTGTAACTGTCTCTTACTTTCCGTTAAAATATATTCAGCTACTAAAACAAAAACTAAAATTAAACTGAAAATAGAACGAAAAATCACAAATTCAAAGGAGTCTGTACTAACTCATATGATTAAAATTTTAGTGAACCAACCAATCAAATAATACTATATTCCACATTTTCAAACATAGATATAAAAAAAGGTAATCCTATAAGATTTAACAGTCACTAAAATATTTCATACCATAGTATATCACCTGAATGCATATTATTACATACATGAGAACCAACATTTCCACTATATGATATATCCAAGACGAATATACCTTAACGCATACTTTCAAAAGTAAGCCAACATTTAAATTAATTGCGATCCAAAACATATTACTGATTTATCTATAAGATTCGATACTACAGAATATAGATAAATTATCTCACAGTAAATCTAAATAAACCAAACTCAACCAGAATCCTCACGGTTCATAAACCGTAGCGTAAATTGACTTATACTCGTAGAAGACGCGTAAAAAGCTCATCAGACTGTTTAATGTGACAGTAACAGTGTTACGAAGGTAGTTAAACGTCGACTTGTTTTACGTACAGTTATTTCCAGGCGATGCAGAGTGTAAATGTGGATTCCAACACAGAGCTGCAATATCCTGAAGCTGTTGGTTGTTAATCAAGTAGATTGATCAATTTATTCCGACGTAAGTGCGGTTATTGGATATAGATTCAATTCAAAAACGTAAATGTTTCATCACTAGGAATAGAGTGTCTCTTTTTTTGACACGAGCATATACGTGTGTAAGTATTGAAACAAATCCGTATTTTTAAAACCTAAATAGATAGAAATATTTTGTTTGTGACGTTGATTTTTAACAAAGGTTCCGCAACTTCTTACACCAAAAAAATTGTTTAACCCCCCTAACAGGGTAGGGGGTAGGGGGTGACTTATTTTTTTCAAAAGGCAACCCCTGTTTAGTGGGTGTCTCCTCATTTTGAAGGGCTTGTCAAAAGAAACACAATGATGCAAACCCGAGGTGAATATCTCACCTTTAGCCAAAATAGCAGGTATTCCAAAATGGGTGTTTTTTCACATAAATCCAATTTTGGAATACCCGCCATTTAGGCTAGGGATGAAATATCTACCTTGGATTTGCACCATTGTATTTCTTTTGACAAACCCTTCAAAATGAGGGGTCATTCAATAAGGGTTGTGTTTTAAAAAAACCTAACCTGTTAGGGGGGTTAACAAATATTTTTAATTTAAAAAATTACGGAACCTTTGTTAACAATCAACGCCATAAACATAATATTTCTATCTATCTCGGTTAAAAAAATACAGATTTGTTTCGATACTTAATTTACACACTGTATATAAGTTTGTAAGGGTCGAGATGGAAACTGATGCTGGAAAACGAGAGAGGGCCAAAGCACTTTGATTCTTGTGATGGACTGTATATTTTTTGTCGTATACCATTCTTTAAACTGTTACTCTTATTACTTATTGCTTATTTATTCATATTACTCATGCCATAACGACAAAAGGTAGTTAACTTGATTGGATTTTCGGCCAAGTAGAGTCTGACGGATATATAAACTTATTTATTTTTTAATCAGATTTGAAATTTATTTTTCTACAGTTGTCTTACAAAGCGGCATTTCGTTCACCAAGATCAGTTTGCAAAACAGCTGATTTTTTAACTTTGCTCACTATGCTTGCAGTTTTGTTTTGTTCAGTTGTCATCCGGAATAAAGAAAAGTATTGGACAATGTAAAATGTCAAGTTTGCCCACTAATTTTCCTGTATCGGGATTTCTGATAATAACTGAATTAAACATACACATGGCTTAGTTTATTTTAGTATAGTAATAATCGATAGTATGTCGATTAAATAAATTTTCACAAATAAAATGTTATACATAAATATAAACAACAACGTTTTACTTAAAACAAAGTGATTATGCATGATTAATTAATTCGTGAGATTGATTAACAGTATGTAAATTAAGAGTTTTCGATAGCCGAAAATTGAGGTTGACAATGATATTGTTAATGCTGCCACATCAACAAACAAACACAGGCAAACATCAGTGTTGTGAGTATATTTGTTGAGCAAATATAAATTATTAGCTGTCACATACTTATCGCTTAGCTGTCAAAACTGTAGACAAAACATAATGTGCAATTAGTGAAAACAGTGGCTTTTTTAGTTTGATAAAATTTATGCGCAAGGCAAGTTGTTCTATAGTTTATAACGAGTTGTACAAATAATTAAGCGAGGTATACAGGATCACCTTTTTTGTTGGCAGTTATTTTCATATATTTTATTGTATTTCATTATTCAAGTTGACATTTTATTTGCTAGTGTCAAATACCTGGTAAAGATTTGTAAATCATATTTGAATCAGCTATTCTTTGTCATTAAATCATACACAACATATACATTACAACTTGTATTCAAAGCTATAAAATACATGCATATTTTACCCGCCAGGTATACACATTCAAGATATTCAAACTTTACTGCAATGTGATTAAAACTCCAATACGTCATTTAAAAGTCAGTCAACGTGTTAGCTAGACACATTTTATAGCACATATCTGAAGCGGCTAAGTGACTTGGGAAATGTTGACATTTCTCACTTTGCGAGAAACTTTATTGCCGTAATTATTTTGACGAGAGAAAGGTTGAAAATAATGAGAAAATGCCTGGATTGATCCGTCTTGATGATATCAGATATTTACGTC